TGCCTTAATCAAGATTTCAAGAAAACATGTATAAAAGATCCAAATAGAAATACTTGAGTTTATGTAGTCACATATTAACGAAGTGCATTTTCGTGCTCACATGAAGAGATTCAACTTGTACTGAGAAAACATAACAGTTTTTCAATCCACATTCACTAAAAAGTCCATTTTTTCATAGATATCACAATGATAGAGCACGAATTACTAATTACTTCATAACACAATTTCGATAACTGTCAAGACATCCAGCCATTCGTAAATAACCTCGTATGTAGTAACTGTAATTGTTTTTCTTTATGAACACATAGCCATGGTTAACCATCCTCAGTAGTTCATCATTGACAAACAACTAACAAATGAACTCACTGATGCATAAATTCAAATTGATTGTTTAGAACAGTTCAAATGTAAACGTAAGAGGGTATTATCAGTACGGACGATGATGTGTTTTGTAAGATGTATCAAATGTTTTACAAAAATGTGTGTAAACATTAATGGCATGCTCACCATTTAATAATAGCTCAAAATCGTTGACTTCACTTGTTTTATGCTATATATATATACATTTATGTATAAGCATGTCAAACATTTACATCACATTTTACCTAAGCATTTTCAGAATATATTCACTATCTTTATACAAAAATTTTGTTACGGTAGAGATGTTTGGGTTTATATAAGTGCAAAATGAGGCTTTGGAATAAATCCCAACAAACACTTGACTTCAACAGAGAAGTATGAATCGTTTGAACACTAGAAAACGTAAACCTTTTCAGAGTTTACATTGTTTTTGATGCTTCGATTTATAATGAAACTTCAGTAGACATATTAGAAAGTCATTTAGCCATTTTTTTAATTTAAAGCAACTACTATACTGTGAAGATATCAAGCCATTTACGGGGAAGCTAATACAATGAGAAACTTATCATATCTTATTCTCCGTATATAAGAGACACTAATTGAAGGCACGGAAAACGAGGTTCAAGTTATTTTATCACGGGAGTTTTCACAGTATTATTGATGTGTGGCTACATTAAAATCTAAAGCACAGTTCAATTAAAGAACAATGGAGTGAGGTTTTTTAGTCTATACTGTAAGGCAAAGTAGCGGAATCACAGGATATTATTGGTTCATTTGATAGAACACAGCTAGTCCAAAAGATTTCGTCTCCCGAACCTGAGTCTCAGGGTGTGCTCATAAAGTAACTACAGACTTCTAGTAAAATGGAGCAAAAATAATCTTAGTACAGAAGATTCACTTTTACTCACGTTCCCATAAATCGCTTTGTTTTAACTGTATTTCTTATTCAGCTAGAAGTAGTTCTATTTTAAGCACAGTACTGCTTTAATAACACTTCGTCCACATATACTGTTTCTGGTATTTCCGTAGCCGAGTATACTAAGTTTTTTAAGCCGACCATCTGCCTATTTGACGAGTTTTCTTAATTAAGTTAAAATGCATGTTATATTAATTCAGTTAACAAATACTAACATCATTTCATTGATCATAAAAAATGGATTATGCTTCAACATAATTGAATAAGACGTGTGAATACAGGATTACTTCCGCAACATCAGTGGAATACTAAAAGCTTCATATACTGCATGGGTACCTTAACCATGAGCCACAAAATATCGATAGTTCCAACATCAAGAGTTTTGTTTTTGTTTTTATTGAACCTAACGGCTTTACTGACTTAAATGAAATACAAGTCCGGCTTTAAAAATGGCGAAATAGAGGTGTTTAGTGAATAACTAATTATTTTTATAACATTACTAATCACGCATTTTAAAAATTAGCCAGAAAAATATGACTGATATACTACGAACTATTGGGTAATAAAATAAAATAAACTGACTGTTGGTTCTCCGTTTTAGTTGTAAGGCTTTGCTAGACATGGAAAATTAAGACCCCAAGCCGCATACTTGACACATTACGAACACATATTCTCTTTATTTTCAGAGACAGGATGTAAATAAAGTTAGTCCATGAATCTAGTATTTTATAGAAAAACGTTTCTATTTTCAAATTTCTAGATATCGAGTTCCTTGGCCATATTTATCAAACAATGCTTTTGGGTGTAAAACTAAATAAAAATGAGCGTTTTGTCATCGATTTATAATAAAACAATACACATTAGCCCATTATTTGCTATTTTTGATGAGAGCACAGTATACGCTTTTAAACTGACTGATATTTTAGAACAGACGCAGAGTAATAATCGAGTTACAAAACTTCTGTAAATGAGGCGGAGTGTCCAGTTAGTTAAAGACTGGGTAGCATTAGTTTCACTTATCTCGGCTTGTAGCAAACACATATATGTTCAGATAGTAGTTAATTCATATGTTCTATTTTCGACGTATTTTGCAGAAAAACACAAGTTCTATATGCTATTTAAACGTTTCTCACTTGAATACTCCTTACTCTAAAATATATTGTGTTACATTCATAAAAGAATATTCCAAGCTCACTAGGAAACGATATGCAATGATCACTTTTGACATTTCAAGGAGTAGGTTACGTTCTGGATAACTGCTGGAAGTGCCTGTTCTTGAAGGTCAGTTTTCAGTTTTATGCAGATACATATAATGTTTACAGTTCATGGTATACTAGGGTATTAGTTTTATTCAAACAATCAAGCCATCCAACTGTTCGTGAGCAAAATAAGACCTGACATAGAAATATATCGACCCAAGTTGTAAATTAATGTTATGAAGTAACCGAGAGGATTGTCAAAGCAATGAAAGTAATGTTAATCTTAGTGATAAGAAAGACTATGCATAGGAAATATTAACCAAGAAAGAGAAACTGAAAAGTTTAAATTAATTTTGAAGTTTAAAATCTAATAGCAAACAAGGACGAGTTGCATCTGCTTGATTATGATCAACTTCTGCCCATATCACAAGATGTCTTCAATCTTAGTTACAGTGTTCACCCGAACCCCAAACAGGTGGTCCAAGTCAGTAAAAGTTCTTTAACTAAACAGTCATTGACACTATGAACTGGTGGACTTCCTTCGTTTGGCATTTGTTAACTTTCTTCAAGTCTGAGTTAGAACCATTCAAACTCTTCAGTTGAAGCAAGAGGTGATTCAGAATACTTAATATATGACCAAGCCACCTCAGTCACCGAGGGTTTCCAACTTTATCAGTTTGTCTGTCCAATTTCTAGTACACCAGGAAGTTTTAGATCCTCTCCGAACATCTTGAATACAATTAGAGATTTGCCATAGATAGTTAAAACCAGCCTTTATATATATATATATATATATATATATATATATATATATATATATATATATATATATATATATATATATATATATATATATATATATATATATTAATTGACCTGCTTGTTAATAGTTTGAATCTTCAGAGGGCACATTACACTTAGAGAAGATTATCACTTCTCCCAAGATAACGGTTAAGCCTTGGTCCTGTATCTAAACTATTGAGAGCTAAATTTTTCACTCTGCGCTAGTAGTCTTTCATCTTCGAAAACCCAATCAAGCTCCGTTTAGAATGATAGACTTTGAATATATTACATATTAACAGTATAAAATCATTTATCCTGAATTCATGAAACAATAGAAAGATTACTAGAATCGTATACACATAACCGTCAAATATGGGAGGTAATTTTGCACCACAAATTGAACATTTGCCAGACTATTAAGGATTTGTGGCTGGATTTTAGGTTTCCTAAATCAAAACAACTTTCCTTGATATAGACTTTTTTTCAATAAATAAAATGGTTTATAAAAAACATATAAATATCTTTTTAATGATTTTTCAATGAAAATTAGTACCTTCTCGTGTATGATTTAGCCGCGATTTTTATTCTAGACACAGTATCCTCTACAAATAAGTCCCTTAGTAATGAAAACTTGCATTATATTTCCCGTTAGACCAAACTAATGCAAAATGTTATGGTTAAGAACATACTTACATATACTTCCTGAAAAACCTTATTTAAGTACACTTTGAAAACAGATTAATAATCTGATCTGCATGTAATCTTAAAAAATACTGACATTAACTGACTGGTGCTTACAATGAATTATAAAAGTCTAGATTCCAGTAAACCATGAACTCCCTTAAACCATCTATGCCCTTCTTTGTATGTCATATAAGAATCTAGACAACTAGAACGTCACCCTTTGTTCGACCTGGAAAGCATATTTCCGCCATGTGAGCCTTTTACCCAAAGCAAAAGGATATTTTTCTACCCCCTGTAAATTAGTCGATTATAGAGCTAAATCGAATACTGCCTTTACTCATGGGTCAGTCTATTGCCACAAAAAGTAGAAATCTATCAAATAGCTGGCCGATCAAATTTTAGTGTTTTTTAAATTCTCTATGATAACCTACTGTTCAACATCATGAAATCCCACGCTTTACTAGCGCAATGATAACAAATTGCTATTGATAAGTTATACATATCTTGGGTTGTTGTCCTATTTGTAGGACACTGAAGGCAAATGTATCACATCTCCTTTATTCTCGTATACAGGAATGAATATGTGTTGGAAGCTGTGTAAATGCATGTCAGAATTTTAATTATAAGACAGACTGTTCAATCAAAAGTGTTTAAGTCAAATAAAAAGGGAGCTTCTGGTTTAAAAAACGAGCTTCTTCACTTAACGGCGAAATGTAACCGTTACCACAGTACTCAGTATTTTACAACCGAAAATTTTTCCGCTTATTTATTTTGACAAGAAAATGTCCCTGATTTTGACCAATTGTCGTGGAATTATTTATTTGAGCACATGAATATTGGTACAAGAGAGCGCCAATATATATGCGCCACACTTGTCGTGGAAAGGCTTTCGTTATTATTTTTTGTAATATCTTTATTTGAAGTATAAGAGTGTTCAAGTCACTAGAACCAGCATACTATATCTAAGTGTTTTTTTCAGCTAAATTGCAGATAATAACAAAATAAATAATCATATGAACTCAAAGAAATTTAAAAGTTACAGAACACAATTTTCTCACCTTTATATATCCGGCTGGGTCCAAAAGTATATTTTCTGGTTTCAGATCTCGATATATCAAGTCAAGATAGTGCAGGTATTCGAGAGCTAATATGACCTGGCTTGCGTAAAAACGCGCTGCAGACTCACTGCAATCAAAAAAATGTTAAGAACAAAATCTACCTAAATCGGCCCTTTCTTCGCAGATAAGAAAACATTTCACCTCCAGAGACGTATTCTAGTCCTAAAAACAAGTAAACTTCATTCTACTTAATAGTTTCATAAAGTAACATCCTAACCTTGAAACTATATTCCAGCCGAATTAGGAAAGGAAAATCGATCGCTTGTAAAATCCTCTTCTCATTAAGCGTATGTTGAACTTGTTTAAGTTTAATTATCTATTTTAAATGGAAACATTTAGAGAAGCCATCGATACTTTTGCTTTGTCAAGGATTTTTAACGCGAAAAAGTTGGATGTCTTTTTATGCTGTACAAGCATAACCCGACCAAAAGACCCTGTGCCCAAGGTTCGCAGTTGTTTAAATTCATCTAAAGACGCTGGTTTCTTCAACAATTACATTATATAATGTTTCTTTACTTTAACAGGATGTTCATAATTTTCTAAGTAGTTGCGCTTTGCTGTTTCCAGGTACTCAGCGACTAAGAGCTAGATTTACATCTCAAAAACAACATACTCTCTTCGGAAATGCATTTTCTTGCGGCATGAGAATTTCCCATGTGTCAAAACGAACTACCAGCGAGAACAAAAATGTAAAACATACCACGCGGTTTATTTTTGCATGTATTTGTCCTTTGATCTTTCACCTCAGTTAAACTAAAAAATTTCTAGTCGTTCGATGACATGTAATCAAGTATTTTTCTCTACTATAGCTGAACTGACCAGAATATTGCTAATCAGTTGACAGATTCTTATTAGGCTTTCCGCCCTTGTTTTGTGAATAGCATCGGTGAAATTACACTAGACCTCAGGCTGAATATATTCATACCATAGCAAATTTAAAACTGATAGTTGAATAACTTGAGTAACTTTATAAACGCTATAGGTTAGTAACATCAAGTGCTCTGTTAGCAGCATGGTTACAAAAAATGAGATGGTGAATCTGTAGTTCATATAAACCGAAACAGTAAATTCTACTTATTACGTCATATCATTGATATGCCTATTTGTATCCACCAAATATACCAATAGAGTACAAAAACGTGGTCGCCACTTTGGAAAGAGACAAGACAGGAGTTCAATTTTTAAATGAATCTTTTCTCGGTTAAGCATTTAGAATATTTTCATTCAACTAGAGAGGAAGGAAACTGTTTATTGAAGAAGACATGTAAGCGAATATGGACAGATATCCACATAAAATATGTTTTTTGAGTACAACCTCACGTTCTTAATTGTCACATATTTGGTTGAAGTTTGTCTACAAAAGCAGAGGTTCGAAATAGCATGAGATTATAAGAGGAATCCCCATAAGGCATACTGCTTCCTCACTAAAAATTCAAAGGTTATTGTTTCGGCCACTTGAGGAGCTAGTGTGGTGTTTGAATTAACTAATAATATCTCTGTACTTGTTGTATGCTTGATTTCGAATTCTAAATACAATACATTTATTCGTGCTCATCTAGTACTTCTTGACTCATTTGCGTTATTTCTGTGATTTTTAGTTCATACTACAATTCAAATAATTTGAAATACCAAATCGACGTCGCGAGCAGGATCCTGTGATGAAATCGTTGAATATACATTTAGATTTCGTTGCTTTTTAGGACTAGTTTGAAAGGTTCGAAATCTGTGTTATGACCAAGGAAGATGCTGAGGATGTTAATATTATGGCACATTTCCTCACATTCATCGGAAAAAAAGCATAAAGCTTATTAAGAACTATGGCTATGCCGGAAAAACCTTTCTCGCTTTCTTATACAACTCTCAAAGAACTGCTGCTACACTATGTTATGTATATAAATTTCAAACACGATAAAGGGAGATTTTGCAAAATGATTCATGAGAATATAAAAAATTCCACTACAATACGTCATCCCATTCCAGTGCATAGTCAAGGCTATGCAGATAATTCATTGAGGAGTTGCGATGCATTTCACGAAGATGGGCACACATTTGGTCAGTGTTTATCCAGTGTCAAGTTCCATGCTTTTAATTCATGTAAATTTCGTAATTTCAAGTGCATTAAGTGTGGTGATGTTGGACATATTCAGTCGGTCTGTAGTACTAATGTTCATCTTACTGCAACTAATATTAAGTCTTGTAATTCTGATTCTACTGAGTCGAGTATTTATAATGATGATTTATCTTTATCAACTATTGCAATAGACAGTGTAGAGTCAAAAAGCAGTTCAGAGTTAAATCAAATTCAGAATTCTTGCGAAACAACAGTTTCTCACCAATCGATTTATCAGAATTCTCATGCTATTGTACCAGGTATGGTTTTTCCTAATGATTCACATATTTCCGATGAAATTCCTTGCAAATCTGAAGAAAATATGTTGAATGAACATAATTATGATCGAAAACCTGACTTAGGTTAGACGGATGCTGAATTTTCTAATGATCATTTACTCTGCAATGACATTCTTAATAAATTTAAGGAAATTATTTCAGCAAAATAAAATCTTGATGTCATATCAAATATTAATCGTCCTCATTTTGCATTTGTTCCATGTGAGAAACTTGTTTATTGCGAATCACGAGTATTAAATGAGCTCGATTCTGATTACAATTCAGACGATTTCATATCAACTGCCGTTCATCCTTATCACAAATCCACCCTTATCAGTGTAAGAAATATATTTTAAATGAAGCGACATCATTCATAGCTTGGTGATATGAAGATCCAACATTGTTTCGTGGTGGAGGATAGTGTTGAAAAATCTATGGTTCGAATTCTAGATATTAATGATTTGATTATAAAATCGTTATGCTGTTTGTATACAATTTCAAGACCCAGGTGAGTCTGTTCCGATTTCAGTTGTTTATTGTAGTACTAATGCGTGTATTCTATATAATACAGAGTTTTTATCCAATACAATGTCGGACAGACTCAGGCTTAACTTAATAAGAAGACGTACAACCTATTACAGACAGTTATATTCCAATTTAAGCTGTGGTAGATGTGGTGTTTGAATTAACCAATGATATCTTTCTACTTGTTCAATGCTTAATTTTGAATTCTAAGTACAATACATTCGTTCGTGCTTGTCTAGTAGTTCTTGATTCCAGTGTTCTAATTCTGGGATTTCTTGTTCATACGATAATTAAAATACTTTCAGACATTATAGCCAGTAATTCTAAAAATCAACGACTGTTCGCAGTTAAATGAACAAGCCTGGATTTAAACACAGAATGCTCTCGTTACAATCGCAATTAAAACTCACCAAAAGTTATATGACATCAAGGACAATCATGACGTCATCATGAGTTCCGTTCGTCATAAAAAACAGAGTATTGTGATATGTTAACCACATGACTTAAGTCGAAATTACATAATTATTTGATGACTTGTGTGCAAACAGACCTATCTTTTTGAAGGAAATAAGATACTCTGGGATTTTTTCGCTATTATTGTGGCACGACAGCATTATCAGAAATTAGGTAGAAGCGTCCACAATACATCTGTCAGTACTTCTTCGTCACATCAAACATACGATAAACGAAAGTAAAAAGACTAAAATATTTATATCTTTATGTTGATATGCCACAGGTATTAGCAGTAACACCAGTAACACCTATTATGAATCATACCCACCAAGTGAAACAAAAAGACAGAAGAGAAGAGGTTCGAAGATATATTAGATAGGCTGTAAATGTATCGAGGATCGACTGATCTAATCTTGCTAGCGATTGCAGGAAATGTTGAACACGGTGTTCTCGCTCGTGATCTGGAGCAGATGCATGACCAATTGTCTTCAGCCAGGTGATTCCATTATAACTAATGTGGCCAGCATCCATTGTCGAAGACTGACAGAGCTATTTATTTAGGGATTTATTTATCGTTACACCTCCTTTACGCATGTAGATTCTGTCGGCTCTTACTGATGCGAAACCTTCATAAATCGAATTCCATATTGTATATAGACTGAATCATCCATGTTTCTGTGACAGAGTTGAGCTACTTATTGTGAAAGCTTTGGGCATTTGTATAACAGATCTGAAACCTATTCAAATGGTTTCATGCTGCAGCTAGAATGACTTCGGCATCATTCATATTAACAAAAGGATTTTGTTTGTTTCTTGGAATACATTTTTATTTTAAAATACTTTTATATGTAATACAATGAAAAGCCGAGATGAAGCAAACTGTTAACTGATATCTCACGTGCGATAGTCATTTAAAAGTCCTAAAAATCTCACAATTCTTACAGAACGCGTTGTTTTAAGTTTATTTTCGGATACTGCCGAAGTATCAGCCTGCGTTTTGGATGTCGGATTAAGTATAGGAGCCGTGTTGTTGGACTGTACCGATAGAAAATCGATGTGGATAGAATTTTCTTCTAAATGGGCAGCTTTGAGGCGATCGATGCTGATACTATCGTTAGTTCCGCTCTGATCGACTATATAGTGCTTGGGTTCGCGTTGAAGAACTATGAAGTGTCTTTCGATGTTCTTTGTTGTTTGCTGTTCTTTTTTTCTGTCGTAGCCACGTTGGAGAACATGGTGCTCAAATTACGGAGAACGGTGTTCTGTTTTTTTTTAACAAATCAAATTCATCAATAGTTAAATATTGACCATCCATCTTTTAGCGTAATCACAAAGCTTTATTTTATCACGCAGAGTAAGGGACTTCTGATGAAGAAGACTCTAGTGTTTGAATGAACTGATGATACCTTTGTACTCGTTGAATTTTTGAAATCGAATTCCAAATACAGTGGGCAACACTCCAGGGATATCGCGACACTTTTTTACGCTACTTTCTTATTTCTGCTTTGTGTACAGACGAAATTCGTAATAATTTATAAATAAATTCGGAAGTTTGTTTTCCGTTTTCACAATTAAGTGAAAAGAATTTTTTCCATTTTGCGGTACATGGTATCACGGAGTCTTTGAAAATTCACTATTCAGGTGCTGTTTTAATAGTTTTCCCGTGTTTGCGTCGCAGACTAGCAATTATTTCCACTTAACTTAACACTGAGGGTAGACAAATATTTTATTTTTATATGAAATAACATTATCTAAGCATATGACGTCATGAAAATTGTTTCGTCGTCAAAGCTACCAAAACTGCGCACCAAGTAACGACACCATGATAAAATTTATCGCTTTTCCCTTCTTCATTGCAACTTTGGCTTATTTTCACTGTTTTGTTCAACTTTTATGGCGGAAATAGGTAAATAGTGAAAATATTAGCTGTCCTGAGTAGCGTAAATGTTATGTATATGATATATATAATCATTTATGGATGATTATAACACATACCAAGATGTTAATATGGGCTTCTACAGTTAGATATATAAGCTACCAAATCATTATATTTCAGAAAACAAACCTCTCGTACAGAGTTCGAATGTTTATGCTGCCAGTATTCTTGCAAAGATAACTGATAGCATTAAAAAGTACTATTATAATACCGTTAGGAGGAAACATTGAAATGTAAGATTTACTTATTAAGATATCTTAGTCTCAGGTGACCAGATTGTCCGAGAACGTATATGATGATCTTCGAAAATCAACCAAGGCTTGTCTAGATGACGTGCTGATGATGGACTAAAATAAAATAGGCATCAGTAATTCCAGATTA